CCGGTATCAAGGACCGGCAGCCCCGGCAAAATCGCAGACAATCAGAATTGCCTCCTCGCCTATGTTGGAGCCCTTCGTGACGTGTATCGTCTTATTCAAGTCGACCTGACGGTCGATCGTATTCGTCGTATGCTAACGCTTCTACGCGAAGTCATGCAGGTAGCTACTCCAGGAGCATACGTAGCTGATATCGATCATCTCACACCCCTACAAGGGCAAGTCCTGGAGGTGATAAAGATGCTTCGAACAGACTTACCTGGGGCACCATCTGCCCTGATATCTCAGACGGCCGAATTCATCTCGCTAGCCTTTCTTGAAGAGCACGACGTGTCAACCCAACGAAGCACACAAAAGCGCACCTACGTGGCAATGTCTAAAGCTAGCATGTCGATTCTCCAGTCTCTGATAGCCACTCACGCCTCTGACGTGAATATTTATAGCGATGGTGCCTTCTTGACCGCGCTCACGGCGCTGTCAAAACCAATCGTTCTCAAATACGGATTTCCTATTATCACCAAAACAGAACAGCCGTGGAAGCAGGCAACAACATCTTCCCTGGTTATTCTTGAAGCTACTCTCCCCCAACTCCTAAAACTCGAGATCAATCGGTCCAATTTACAGGATATCTGGGAGATGGTTGTCACTATAGCCAACGGAATCATCAGTGCAGACTGCGATGCGGCGCCCGACCGGGTGAATATTTTAGAAGACCAAGATTTCGATATTTCTTCATTCCGCAAACTTCGCAATCTTATTATCCCATCCCTAGGCGCAGAGGTAGTGGCGGACAAGACTCGCAAGATCTTCGCAGAAAACTTGTTCCGAATGTCTATTATACACTCACCAGCCCCAGAGGAATCATCGCTGATCTACGGAGGCGGCGGAAGCGACGTGGCCGGGCTGTCAAACCTGTATAAATCCCGAAGAGGTCGTACCATTGACCCGCCCCCGGCCAGACGCGAAGAGATGTGCTACGTCTGCGTCGACGAGCTGTTCGCCTTGGTCGCCAACCAGAGCGAAGCCACAACTCCTCAGATCACAGTCCAGCCACCAACACCAGGGTTCCCCTCATCGTCCAACATGTCTCTGGAAGCGCCCCACGCTCTTCACGTCCGCTTAGCGCGTACCACGGCACCGTACCTGATCCTGCGCGCTGCTCTGACACTGCGCGCTTACATCGCAGACCAGCCGCTGCGGGGCCGCATGCCGCAGCCTCTTAGCCAACGTATAGAACTAAAGCGCGTGCTGGAACGGCTCGTCGAGCTGAAGAGTGAGCCCGACGCTATCCCCGATACGCCCAACGTCGAGAGCGAGAGTCGCAAGCACCTGCTGAGGCTGTACCCGCTGCTGGTTAGCGCTACGCGGGTCGCGGGGACGAGCGCGGACGAGGGCGTGCTGAGGCTGCTGAATAAGGCGCTGGAGGTTGTTGGGAATGAGTTGGGGGTTTGAGACGTGGGATGTGGGTAGATGGGCATGTATGACTAGTGGTAGAAGTAGAGGTGGAGGGAGGTAGTCCTTTCGATAGACTGAGGTTGTTAATTGAGTAAAGTTGATAAAATCTGTCTGAATATGCTGTTTTTTTTTTTTCAGTAAAAAGATGTTATTTGAATTAAAAAAGGGAATAAAGAGTTCTTGGTTTACCCACTGCTGGATTCGAACCAACTGGCTCCTTGCTACCTAAGGTACCTAGATGAAGGACGCCCTGCCGAGTGCTTTACCACTGCACTGAGTGAGACTATGCCGCCTTGCGAATGTGTTAATATACTCTTTTCATAGTTGGTCTTGTATAGACAAAGTCACCGGGTTCTAGATAGATTTGGAAAAAAAAAAAAAAAAAAAATCAACTCGTAGTGTACTTGGCAAGACCGTAAATATGAAACCGTGTAGACTCGAACATAATAAGGAGACACTTGAGATATTTCATTCCAGATTTAGGATATGGCCTCACTTTTGGAAATGCTATTTCGGAGAGTGCCTCCTATCTTAATTGTCTATTTAAGTGTTAACACTTCCTTTGTCCCAAAGCCCCTAATGAGCCCGGACGGAAGTGGTGGTGATGGAGGAGTGGTAGTGTCGTATTGTTACAAAGTCCACAGACGCGAGATAGGAGGAAGATTATGCTAGCGTTCTGGGTAATGGATGAGAATGCTTTTTTTTTTTACCGCGGAGTCCCGCCGACGCCATGCTCACTTCAATTCCCTCGTTTTCTTCTTTCACTAGGTAGGTAACCGCCTTTTTGCCTGAGACGTTGTTCATCTCTTCCGCCATTTTGTAGTAATAGACATGGGAGCTGCTTTTGTTTTTACAGGGAGCCGGCTTGTGGCCGGTTCCGTCCTATTTCCATTCCATATTATGGGCTGCTTCTCGTGAAGACAACTGGTAATATAACATCATCGGCGTTGGTAATTTATTGCCAGCCATAGACTTTTACTTCCTGCCGGCCGTGTTATCGAACTCGCGCACCATCGAGTCCACGACGCTCGCCCTACTAGGTCTCGCCTCCGTCGGCTCCTCCTCGTCGGCGGCACCGGTCTGTTCGCCCTTCTCCAGGATCTGCTTGGCCATCGTCCGGCTCTGGGCCTCGCCCACCTTGCCGTAGACGCTCAGGCCCGTGGCGATCATGCCACCGATATCTCCGACGTTGCCCGGGACCACGACAGCCGTGCTCTCGCGCGCCAGCTTGCCGAACGCGTCGACGTACTTCTCAGCCACGTTGAGGCTAACGGCGCCCTGGGCCGACGACCCGCCCGAGCTGATGCTGCGGGCGACCGCGTCTATGCCCTGGGCCGTGGCCTTGGCCTTCATCAGGATGGCCTCGGCCTCACCCGACGCGCGGTTGATCTGCTCGGCGCGCAGGGCCTCGGACGCCAGGATCACCGACTGCTTCTTTCCCTCGGCGATGTTGATTGCGCTCTGCCGCTGGCCCTCTGACTCCAGGATTTCGGCGCGCTTGGACCGCTCCGCCGTCACCTGCCGGTGCATGGCCTCGACGACGGGCGCCGGCGCGTGGATGTCCCGGATCTCGTAACGCAGACACGTGACGCCCCAAGCCTGCGCGGCCTCGTTGATGGCGGCGGTGATGTTGATGTTGAGGGCCGCGCGCTCCTTGAGCACGTGGTCGAGGGTCAGCTGGCCGATCTCGCTGCGCATCGTGGTCTGGGCGAGTTGCGAGATGGCGTATTCGGCGTCTTCTACGCCGTAGCTGGAGGGTAGAAGCATGTTAGTACAGTTGTTTCTCAAGGTACAAGCTAGGTCGCAGGTATGGCATGGAGAGTTAAAGCACACCTCGCCTTGTAGGCGTCAAAGACGCGGGTATATAGCACACCATCGAGCTCCAACGTCACGTTGTCGGCCGTAATGGCGCTTTGGCTGGGTATCTCGATAGCTACCTCCTTCAGGCTCTTGACGTAGGCGATTCGGTCGAGGAAGGGGACAAGGATGGCTAGGCCGGGCTCGAGGATGCGGTTAAACTTTCCCATGCGCTCGACTATCCACGCCGTCTGCTGGGGCACGAAGCGGACGACGGTGTTGGCGGGCAAGGAGGGGCGCTGGAAGTAGGAGGGCGGGACGCTGCCGAGGCCGGAGATGTTGGGATGTAACGGGGCCGAGTATCTGGTGGTATTGTGGAATGTTCGAAGGGGCCCTAGTGTCAGGGCTGGGGTGAGAAGGTGTCGTGGTATTATTTGGTGGCTAGGCCCTCGTCGCAAGGTGGCCGAGAGAAGCCTCTCGGCTCTGGTGAGCGACATGATTGCTGCTCTGCTCTTTGCTGTCACGCACTCTCTTCGCTCCTCGTATGCCCGTTGCTGTGACTGCTGAGTACGTAGACCTATAAAGGCCGAACGCGACGTCACGGATCGTGTACTGGAATGGGGGATTGGTAGCTCGAGGCGGATGATGACATGCCCTTTTTTTTTTCTTTGGTGGAGAGCTGCAATTGGAACATTGGAACTCAATGGGAGCTCGGAGTTTGCTACGGGAGCTCGGACCAGGGTGATTACGTAGGTAGATGCAGATTCCGAGTTATGCATACCCCGCTTAGATCTTCTTATTAATCAACACTTACTCCCCTTATTTCTTTATGAATTTATCCGCAGCTTTCTCACCTATAGCTAGCTTTGTATTATTCGTCTTGGCCGTAACATTACTCGGCGCATCATTCATGTCTGCGATTCTAAGTCCAAGTACGGCTGAACACCAAGAAAATGATTTACTACGCCGGATTCCTCTTGCGGTGCCATCCGACACGTACCCATGGAACAACAGGTTGAACCAGCTGGAAACTGCGGATGCCCTGATGCCACTTCGTCTCGAATCACAACCATTCGCCTCATAATCTCAGTACTTCATTCATAGCAATATGCCGGCCGGGTGGATGTGCTTCATCTCGCTAGACCGCTGTAGTAGGGTTCTGCCCATTCCGAAACCTGATAGACTTCACGTATGAGCCTCAGTATTAGGTACCTAGTGATATCCCGACCAAGAGCCCAATATAAAGGATCCCCGAACCGATTATCGGTGGTTCTCGTAGATCCAGCCTCTGACAACCGCCCATATCAGGATATAAGTTACCTCTCAAAACACCGTTGTATACAGTGTATCAGAGATACTCCTTCATTTATGAGTTGGACCAGAGTATTAGTTGATGCTGATTCTATGGCATCACATGCTCCTCCAGATATCGAGTTTCGACCCACAATCCAACATTGAAAGTCTGAAAAGCACAACATGGATTACCTACCTACTCAAAGATATAGAATTGCGTGAGAACCTTATTTGACCTGCAACTCGCTTTGTGACTTGATCTTTGACGCAAACTATTAGCTAACGGACAGTTCCTTACCTGTTACCTATGTAGGTACTGTTTTACCTTAGGCTAACTCACTAGTTAATATTCACTAGGTGATCGCATTCACTACGCCTCCCACAAGAGTCAAACCACTCATATTATTAAGCTCCATTGAAGGTTGACGAAATTGTGCGGAGGGAGGCTTTGAGTAAAGGGTTTCCTGGTGTAATGGTTATCACTGCGGATCCTGATTCCGCCGATCTGGGTTCGATTCCCGGGGAGACTTTCATTTTTGACAATTCCACGTCGATAATGGGGACCCCATATATGCATTGTCACTTAATCCATCATGTACATCAAACTAAAGTTGAACATAACCCTACCTAGAATATTCTTCTACTTTTTAATGGGCATGAACACTGTATTGACTAACGTCTTCTTCTAATTCGCGCGGCTATTCGGAACTTTGGTTGTCCTATGCCTAGTCCAAACCTCCATGGGTCCATATCTATATTGTATTTCAAAGGCTCCGCCAATATTTCAACGTCGTACTCACCTACCAGTAGAGCACAAGCTACCATGATCACGTCTTTAGCCAGGAATCGTCCCGGGCATTTGTCGCTTCCAGCTACCCGGTTGTGTTAATAGCACTTGTAGCGTATAGGGCATCTAAACTTACCCCCGAAAGGCATATAAGAGCCCTCTAGGTCGTTCGTAGAGAAATAAGGGGCTCCTTTATTCCCATTTTCAACTCGCTCTTTTCGCGGTCGCTCGTTCGTCATGGCGGCTCGGATCTCGGGCTTGATAGGCCCACTGGTAGGATCGTTCGGGTAGACCAGGAACCGATCTGCCCAGAACGTGTCAATAGGATATAAGTCGTCCTTTGTGTTCCAGAAGTTGTCGTCCGTATGTGCAAGAGATGAGCTAACTAGACCAAGGCTTCGCCGTGGAAACTTCCATTTTCCCAGAGAAACGTCCGTATTTGGTGGGCTTGCAACCATAAGATAAGCATTAGAATACAGCCGCATTGTCTCGGCATATATTGATGAGAGGAGAGGTAGGTTTTTAAGTTGCTTCGAGTCTAGCCACTCGGACGGAGAGGAATGAGGTATCTGTTCCTTGAGCTCGGCTCGAACGCGGATTAGGAGCTCGGGGTCGCTGTAGATGTGCAATATCGCAAGGGCAGCGGCGCTAGCCGGGTTAGTTGCCGCTCTAGATACGCCGAGTCGAAATCAGCTCATCGTGTAAATATGTAGGAGAGACGGTTATACACACTCCCAAATCCAGCCTAGATCATGTGTCGATATGGCTTTGTCATTCTGCTTTCCATTCTCCATCATATCCACACTGCCTTGATGTGCATATCTAGACCATGCTTGAATTTGCTCAAGCACCCTCTCCCGGGCCCTGTGTGGTTGCGGATAAAGCCATCGCGGGACCATGCGTAATAACCACGGGACCCCATTGTCGTATTCCCATAGGTTGGTGACAAAGTCAGAGTGTAGTCGCAACGGAGTTGGGCCAAAAATAGTTTCTATTACAGACGCACTCACTACCCTACTGGTGAAGACGAACAGATCATCCAGGTCTCCCCACTCGTGAGTATCAGGTATCAACCTGCCCAAGCGTGTCTTGATAGATTTGAGAAAACGTAACGTCGTCGATTCCTGTCCTGGACCTAGAAAGGTCTGTATAAAGTCCTCAAAGTGAAGGCGACTGATACGATAAGTATCTAAGCCACAGTCTTCGAGCAGTCCAAAAAGCGCCTTTGCCGGAGATATGAACCGTATCGCGAACGGGGTTGGGGAGTCGCTCAACTGTATGAGTTTAAGGACTGCACTCCTATCCTGGATGAAGTATACTGCTGATCCTAACATCGAAACACGTGTTGAAGTGGACTTGCCTTTGTAGTATCTAAGATTGTGTGAATAGACTATACAATACACTCATTTCTATCAAGGCATATTGAACCGAATACTTACGTTGCCAGTCGAGTGAAAAGCGCCGTATCCCAGGTAATGGTGATGGCATTGCCCAGGAATGGTATAATATATGGATATGTCGGTGGCACTTGATCCACAACCTGGTCGCAATTGTGGAAACGACGTCGTGCTAGTCGGTATCGAAATACTACCCAAGCATAGCGAAAAGAGATAAACGCTGTGATAGCAAGCAAGATATCTTGATAATTGGTGCTCAGCCTCAGCCAAACCCACAAGAAAGCACAGAGAGCAACCTCCTGAAGTTGAAAGCCAGACGCAGCCATCGAGCTGTTGACCTCCATAGTGTCGCAAACCGTTCTTCCGCTACGATATGTGATGCTCATGGCTTTGTACAACTTCCTGAAAAAAAGGCTGACAGTTGATTGGTTCAATTTATACGGGATCCAGTACTTGTGTGCTGTAATACAATCCTCATGTAGAGGCCATACAGTTGGCAGTAAACACGCAGTCGACAGTTTGATAGAAAAGCGGAAAATATCATGTTATAACTACGGGGACTTTGATGTTACCAAGCAGTTTCACTTATACGGCTCAACAGTTAGACCAACATTCATCGGTATTTGTCCGGTAATACCACGTGGATACCAACATCTCAAAGTATGCTAAGGTAGGTAGGGGTACTTAATGTACCGAGACACCAACATACCGACATAAAGAACATAGCCACTAGCCTTGTGGAACCACCGAGTGTTGGTACTTTATTTCGAGAACCAACATTCTCCGGCTCTATTCCACTCACTACCACTCTAACAGCGATTACGTACTAATTGATGGGTCCTCCTTCTCTGTCGCCTCGCGAAATCAATAATTGCCTTCGCAGCGATGACACACTCTACGCCACATGGGGTGATTGTAGTTACGGGGGCGGCAGGGGGGCTTGGAAGCGCCATTGCGGCAGAGATCGCTTCCTCGCCCGATTTGGCCCCCGCTTACCACGGCATCTACGCCGTCCGGGATCCTTCACAGGCGACGGCCCTTACGCGCGCCCTTCAGCAGGGACAAAGGGCCCATTATCGTCCTTATGAGATTGTACGATTGAATCTCGAACAGCTTGACAGCGTTCGCGCCTTAGCTGAAAACATTAACGAGCGGGTGGCGAAGGGAGACATCCCTAAAATCCATGCACTGGTACTGAATGCGGGCTACTTGGAACTTGAGAAACAGACATGGGTGGAGGGAGGTCTCGACGCTTCTTGGACGGTCAACTACCTGAGCCACTGGCTGTTGGTTTTGCTGCTGTTGGGAAGCATGGATCGGGAGAAAGGCCGAATAGTAGTGCTTGGGAGCCACACTCATGAGTGAGTCCTCATGCTATACCCTGAAACGCTTACTGATAGACATCGCCACCTAGCCCTTACGATAAATTCAATAAGGGCTCGATGGGTGGACAGTTTGACGACGAAAAATGGACGACCATCCTCGGGGACAGCATTGAGCCGCTCGCCAAGGGAACTTGGAGTCCGAACGACGGAAGCCCTCCGGAGCTTGCGGGTCTCCGTCGCTACGGGGCCGCGAAGCTCTGTCTCATAATGATGATGTAAGTTTGCTAAACGAGTAAGAGTGCAATGTTTGTTGGCTAACTTTCGACTTTTAGCGGTGAACTGCAGGATCGTCTTGACCGCGATCCTTTACTCAACAAGATCACCGTCTTGGGTGTTGATCCGGGATGGATGGCGACTGGGATCTCGAGACGGCATCCTATGTATCCCTTCGTGAGAGTTGTCATGCCATGGGTGGCTGGGATACTGTCGTGGCTGCAGCCCAGTGGCATGTACCGCACCCCTAGCCGGTCGTCTAAAGACGTCGTAGCGGCAACATTTGGCATAGGTCCAATGAGAGGCATGGATCTCAAAGGTTTGTACTTTAAGGGTGCCATACTGTCGGAGGTGAGTACCGAAGCACGAGACCAAGAGAAGCGGAAGATGGTGTGGAGAGGTAGTGTCGAGCACGCTGGGTTGCAACAGGCTGACACTGTTTTGCTGGATTGGAGCTAGATCTTAAGCTCTTTTAATGATTTAACAGATGATTAGCAACAGCTATCCATCGCAAGGTTACACAAAGCTACAGAACCATTGCAGTTGTAGGCTTCCGTAGATACCTAGGGATAGGGTTAGGGTTGACAACTACTTATTATGGAAATTTGTGAAGCTCTGTTCAACTTGGTGTTCTACATTCCCTAACTTGTCGAAAGGCTTTTAGCTTATGACAAGCTTCTTTCGCAATAAAGGTATCAACGTTCTTTCGCTTGTCACTTTACGAAGGCTCAACTATTAGGTACATATTGGATAAATTCTTTGTCCTGTGTAATGCTTCTTAAACATTCAATAGGATGGTATAGAGTGATTAAAATTGGATATATTTCTTCTCTACTCTTATTCCTTTCTGCATGTTTCACGGAAGCTAAAGATTTTCTAGGAACCATTCTGCCATAAGTGCCTCAACGTTATGGTATCTACCTGTTACCTGTTATAATCACAATATAATCATAAACCATCGGAGTCGTGATTAATATCTGGAACCGACCCGACGGAGGACATTGTGTCATTCGGGATTATTCCTCTCCGTTGCGTAATTACTGTCGTGAATCACGAAGATAAGACCCCCAGAATGAATCCGGAAGGTAGGGACTCACCCGGCAACCCGGACAGCTTGGCAGCATCCCCAAAATGCAGCAAAAGTTGCATCACTCCGTGCGATCGAGGGGTTGTCACCAATTGGAAAGCTCAAGCTCCAATGGCTCTTTTCATAATGCTACTGCGTATTGTCGACTTCTCTGGACCGAATTCCATCATCAAGTCAGAGAAGTCCGTTTAGTAAGGGGTATATAAGTAGCTCCAACACGCAGCTCCAACACAAATTTCGCAAGCTGCTCTTTCAACTCTACCTCTTAGTTGAGAAGAGACACAGTCACGATGAGGACTTTTTGTTTGGGCCCCTTAGTGGTTTCGCTTGCTGTGGGCGTTGCGATCTCTCCCAGGACAGACGTCGTATCTTACGATGGGTTCAAGGTTTTCCGCATAAACACACATGGGCACCCCTCCGCAGTGACGGAGAAGCTGTCGGATATTTCGTTTGAGCAGTGGAACGGCGATGTCTACAAGTACCTTGACATTCTCGTTTCTCCCGACCAGATTGCTTCTTTCCAAGAACTGGATCTAGACTATCAGGTTATGCACGAGAACTTGGAAGACTCGATCGCTGCAGAGTCTGCGGCGAGGTCCGTGTGGAAGAGACAAGCCGATGATCTGTCTTGGTACGACTCGTATCATAATTACGAGGATCA